GAATTTTCATGGGAGCCAAGAGCAGAAATGCCTAGACAGAGGCATACTTGACCTAAAGCAGGTTTTTCTTTAGGCATATGAGTTCACGCTTTGATAGCTTTGGAAGCCAACTCCTTTTCTGTAACAGAAATACATTCCTTATTTTAAGTACTTAATGAATTTGTTTGGAAACAGAAAACAGAACAGGTAGAATTGGTAAGACCTAGGATAATAACTCCACCAGAAAAAATGCTCCCCGTTAAAGGAATATGTTATGGGTCCAGAATCCATAAAACAAATGAGCAATACCAAGGAGAGAAGAAAGGGGAGGTGGGAACTAGCAGCCATAGTGTTTAGATTTGAACTTAATCAATACAAGATCAGAAACAGCTCTTCGATAAACTCAAAATGGGCCTCTCCAACACCAAGCAAGGGCCCGCGAATCAGCAGGGTTCTGCCATCTGTGACTTCCAACCACAGGCCATATGAATGTCCTGGGGTGTCTGTCGATGGTGGTGGAGGGACGTGAAATGCACAAGTAAGAATCAATGAATAACAACAAAAAAAGAAACAAAAAGAATCAATGAAATGTGGCGAGCCTGGCTGAAACACTCAGTGGTTTGTGTCACCTTATTTGAAGAAACACGTGGAAAGCATACCCTAAAAATTAACCTCAGTCTTTCTTTTTCGAGCAAACGATATTTTTTATATTTTTAAAGCAAACAATCACGAAATGATGAAATATGCCATTGCATTGGTGGCCCTTGGTTTATGAGCTCAAAAGCTCCTGCCTTCTTCAAGGCAAAGGTGCTGCCCATTGCCGGCTGCTTTGTGACCCAGGTGACCTCCTCTCTGTGTCAAGAGATGAACCAAGAGTTGGGACACATTCTGCCTAAGTAGGATAGTTTAGATTCTGAGCCAGACAAAAGAAACAGCAATGGCTACCATACTGAATGCTTACTTTGTCTCAGATTATGCATTTTCATCATCTCATCTAATCTCACTGTAATGCTAGGACTCAAATATCATACCCATTTTGCAGATGAAGGTAACAGGTTCTGTAAAGTAAATTATCCTGCCCTAGAACAACCCAGCAAGTGTTGAGCTGGGACTTCTTTCCCAAATGAAATTATCTCATGGTGAAACCATCCTTTACCCACTGATTTGAAATGCACCTTTATTATCTAATTTCTTACGGATTTTCTGTTTCTGGACTTATGCATACTAACACTAGCAAAATTTCCTGTTTGGGCTCAAAAGATCTGATGGGTTGTAAACAACAGGTTATGTCACCGTGAGAGTTGCCTTTGAAATTCAATTGAGAGCTTCCTGTGAACCAGAGGTGTCAACACTTTCCTTGATGCTGTGGTTTAGCTAACCAGTCACCTGGCTCAACCTGGGTTGGGTCAGACATACTGAATGGAACCTTCCCATACCCTCCTTCCTTTCCCCATGCAAAACAGGCCCTGGGGGACCCAACTTAAGGTGGGGGGAGGGGAGTGGAAGCATTTATTCTTAAAAGTCAACATGAAAGGTAAAAATTGTATCACCAAGACTCAGCAAACCTCTTAAATCACCAAGTATCAAAAACACAAAGTCGAATGCACAGAGCCCACACAAGACAGACACAAGACAGGCAGGCGACCAGTAAGAGCCAGTTCTATGGCAGCTGTATAACATGCCTTCTGCGCTCCATAAACTCAGATAATCGCTAGAAAGTCATGTGTTGGGTAACGACAGGAATATGTTCTAAGAAATGCATTGTTGGGCGATTTTGTCATTGCATAAACATCACAAAGTCTACTTACACAAACCTAGATGGTATAGCCTACTGCACGCCCAGGCAACATGGTATATAGCCTATTGCTCCTAGGCTACAAATCCGTACAGCACGTTACTGTACTGAGTTCTGTTGGCAATCATAACACGATGGTATTTGTGCACCTAAACACAGCTAAACATAGAAAAGGTACAGTAAAAGTAAGGTATCATCGTATGGGACCACTGTCATATATATAGTCCATCATTTACAGAGTTATACAGTGCACGACCACACTATGCAGGTACACTCACAACCCACCCTTTGAAAAGTGGCTTCAAAGATAGGGCTGCAGAAAATGGTATATGCACACGTGTGCACACACAGAGTGCACACTGTGTTGTTACAAAAACAGCAAACACACAGGAAAAGATTAATAACCTTTGTTTTAGCAATCCCAAGCAGGAATTTACCCTGGAGATAACTCAAGTGCAAGAAAAGTTATGCCACGGCTGGGCGTGGTGGCTCACGCCTGTAATCCTAGCACTCTGGGAGGCCGAGGCCAGAGGATCACTTAAGGTCAGGAGTTTGAGACCAGCCTCAGCAAGAGTGAGACCCCAGCTCTACTAAAAGTAGAAAAAATTAGCCGGGCATGGTGGCACGTGCCTGTAGTCCCAGCTACCAGGGAGGCTGAGGCAGGAGGATCGCTTGAGCCCAGGAGTTTGAGGTTGCTGTGAGCTAGGCTGATGCCACGGCACTCTAGCCCAGGAAACAGAACAAGACTTTGTCTCCAAAAAATAAATAAATAAAATAAGTTAATTAACTGTAGGTTAGTATCAAGTGGGAGAAAGGATGAAAACTGTAGATATTTGGGGCCAGGGCATGTTAGCTTAAATGAGAATTTCCACGTCAGTTATCTGAAGGGTGGGTCAACCTTGCTCTCAGAGGCGATACAGTGGCTGCTTAACCCTAAACTAAGGTCAAAAGACGGGCAAACCATGGAGGAGCAGGGCACCCACCTGGCAAAGGAAGCTGACACAAAAGACCGAAAAGAATGTATCACTTGGCCCTTTCCTGGCCGTCCAGGACGCTGTTCACCCACAGCACACTCTCCTGGGGCCTGACGTGAGTTCTTGCCACTGCGTGCACAATGACAAATGTTGCACCAGGCGGGCAAGAGTGTCCTTTACTAGTAGGACACCCACCTGGTCTTGCCTTTGCACCTTTGCCCAATGAGCTCTTTCTCCACCTTCTCTAAGGACCTGTCCTTCGCATTAAATACCACTTCCTATGTGACTCTCAGCCCATTCCCTTTTGTTAGTAAAATTTCATTAAGAATTCTTAACATGAGACCTACCCTCTTACAATTTTTAAGGGCATATGTTATTGCTGACTACAGGTACAAATGGGACGCAGACCTCCAGAGCTTGTTCACCTGTGACTCTCCATTTCTCCCTACTTGCTCAGCCTGCTCCCTTCTAAGCAGTCTGAGATGATGGACAATAAATAGTCTCTGCCAAGTGACTTGTACCAGCTTAGAACGTGTTGCGATGCAGGGCAAATCCAAGGCATGTTAAGCCTTCTATGGTCACGAGCAAGCCTCTAACGAAAGTTTTATGCCTTAAAAAGGAAAGAAGGTGCCAGCCCACAGGTAGAGTTATTTGTGAGTGCTTCAGAAATGGGGCAAGTATGGCTGTAACCAGATGTGGATCTTTGACTGTAGGAACTAGAGGGCCTAGAGGTGGCTGGAAGTGATTGTCAAGCAGAGATTCTCAGGTTTAGAGAAGAAGGTGCCAGAAAAACTTACATACACACCTGGTGAGAAATAAAACATTCAAGATTTATTTTCCAACAGTCAGCATCAGCAGGTACAGCTACAGGGGTCTCTCCGTAGATCATACATTCACAAGGCATTATTAGCTCAACAGTGAGAAAGCACTGGTGTGTCCTATGTAACAATATCCACTTCACAGTGTAAACAGTTACTATTATTGTGTTCACTTACAATTCCAGAAGGAAAGGCACGACTTGGCAAAAAAAAAGGGGGGAGGAATGCTAACGTCAGGTGCAATAACTAACAAACAAAACTTTTGGTAACAGTCTCGATCCACTTTTTAATAAGGGCCTTCCACAGAGAGGGTAAAGACTTCTCTGTCCTTCTCCACCCAAAGTTACAGTCTTTCTCTCTCTTCCCTTGTTAAACCGTTAGAGCAACTGTTTCATCGTTTGTTCAGTATTATTACATGTACAAAAGGAGATTATGAAAACAGGAATCACAAAAAACATCTTGAAGGTCTAGCTGTTCCCATCAATAGGTCGACTCTTAGGTTTAAGACAGGGCCTGGGAATACTTCAGCGGTCATAAAATAGGAAAATAGAGACTATGGCTACAAAAAAAAAAAAAAAATTAAATGAGGTAGATAAATTAAAGCTTTCACACCCAGGACTCGCCTGTTCCAACTTCATAGCCTTCATGAAATACTCAGCGGGGGCGGGGGGGGGGGAACTTCATAATTACTTGGCATAAATCACACCAAGGAGATTAAACAATAAAATCATCAGCATGTGAGCCTGGGATAGGAAACACACCCTTCCACGAGCTTCTTCTCAAGAATGAAAATCCAGTTCTTCAACGGAGTAGGCACTGGCGAACTAAATTAAGTCACCTGAGATTCCCTGCTCAGGTGCCCACCTCTTCTGGTGTTGAGGAAGACGAAGGCATCCAGGAAGTGTGGGGAGCATTGGCACTCTCGGGGTTCCATATGAACTGTATTTAAATAAGCAGCAACACACACGTTGACTCCCTAAGGACTAAAATAAGTCCATTTGAGGGCATCCTACTTAAGGTTCTAAGGTTGAAGGAATTTTATAATTCTACAACCTTAGTTTTTTTTTTTGTTTTTTTTTTAAGTACATTCAAAGAAAAAAAAAAGAAAAGAAAAAAAAGATGGAGACAGGGTTGGGGGTACATAAAACAGGTCCCTAAATAGACCACAGACCTTGTCCATTTACCCGCACAGTTACCATGGAAGTATACAGGACCCCTCCTCCCTAAATTAGGCTAAGTAGTTGTCTTTTCCACTGTGGTTCAGTAAGTTCCAACTGTTCTACCTTGAAATAGGTTAACAGTCTTTGGAAAAAGTCACTCTAGGTTGTACAAAGGTTTTATGTATACAGTTTATCACAAGTAACAAAGCTACTTTGCAAGACCCGCTTCTTTCCAAAATTAAAAAAAAAAAAAAAAAGTCTAGTCTGTTATTTGTTTTGGTATGAATTTTTTTTTTTTTTGATTTTTCATTTTTTGCAAAGCAGCATAGCAACAATCGTGATTGTAAGACTGCCCGAGGTTGTGGTCACAACCTTAGTAAACATTTGCATATCGTGTGAGAAAAAGAAAACAGGAGGAAGAGATGGGTTCTGTAAGAAAATGAAAAAAAAAAAAAAAAAAAAATCTAGAGAGATTTCACTCTGCCTGTGTTTCTCCTTCCGTGCCAGTTCTCCTTTAGCTTAGCTGACCGCAATCTTATTTTCTTCCAGGAAGTGAGGGAACTGGTGTTTGGGAACGCTGTCGGTAGCACCTGGTTTTTCCACATCGGCACTGACACCTGATTGGGAACCATCCATCTTGGAGACAGGGGCGTTATTCGCGACGGAGCTGGCCCCCAGGGAAACCGGGAGGGTAGGAATCCCACCACTCTGGATCACAGAGATCTCGTTGGTCTTCATGGCCAGACCACCGTTGAGCATGCTGGAGTACTGGTTCCACACGACAGGGTCCATGTTCACCGAAGGCGCCAGGATGTCCTTGGGAAAGATTTCCGAGACTCTCTTTCCATCCGTACCTAACAGAGCCATGGTGTTCTCGATGGCCAGCTTCCGCCCACGGCGTGCTGAGTTATTGTTGGCCCCGTGAGTCATGTAGTGGACCTACAGGAGCAGGACAGAAAGGTTTTCATAAAAATAGATTTGATTGCTCTTTGGCAAGCTGAAATCAGTCTGCATATGGGTTTAGTTCTCCCTAAAAGGAGCATTTGGACATACAGATGCTCCTAAACTTATGATGGGACTCTGCCCCAAGAAACCCATTATAAGTTGTCCAGCCTACCTTAAACATGCTCAGAACACTTACATTAACTTTCAGTTGGGCAAAGTCATCTAACACTAAGCCTAATTTATAATAAAGCATTGAAGGCCGGGCGCGGTGGCTCACGCCTGTAATCCCAGCACTCTGGGAGGCCAAGGCAGGAGGATTGTTTGAGCTCAGGAGTTCGAGACCAGCCTTAGCAAGAGCAAGGGCCCCTCTCTACTAAAAATAGAAAGAAATTGGCTGGACAACTAAAAAAAAAAAAAAAAAAAAAAAATTAGCTCCCCGGTGGGGGGCACACCTTAGAGCCCAGCTACTTGGGAGGCTGAGGCAAGAGAATTGCTTGAGCCCAGGGGTTTGAGGTTGCTATGAGCTAAGCTGATGCCACGGCACTCTAGCCCAGGAAACAGAACAAGACTTTGTCTCCAAAAAATAAATAAATAAAATAAGTTAATTAACTGTAGGTTAGTATCAAGTGGGAGAAAGGATGAAAACTGTAGATATTTGGGGCCAGGGCATGTTAGCTTAAATGAGAATTTCCACGTCAGTTATCTGAAGGGTGGGTCAACCTTGCTCTCAGAGGCGATACAGTGGCTGCTTAACCCTAAACTAAGGTCAAAAGACGGGCAAACCATGGAGGAGCAGGGCACCCACCTGGCAAAGGAAGCTGACACAAAAGACCGAAAAGAATGTATCACTTGGCCCTTTCCTGGCCGTCCAGGACGCTGTTCACCCACAGCACACTCTCCTGGGGCCTGACGTGAGTTCTTGCCACTGCGTGCACAATGACAAATGTTGCACCAGGCGGGCAAGAGTGTCCTTTACTAGTAGGACACCCACCTGGTCTTGCCTTTGCACCTTTGCCCAATGAGCTCTTTCTCCACCTTCTCTAAGGACCTGTCCTTCGCATTAAATACCACTTCCTATGTGACTCTCAGCCCATTCCCTTTTGTTAGTAAAATTTCATTAAGAATTCTTAACATGAGACCTACCCTCTTACAATTTTTAAGGGCATATGTTATTGCTGACTACAGGTACAAATGGGACGCAGACCTCCAGAGCTTGTTCACCTGTGACTCTCCATTTCTCCCTACTTGCTCAGCCTGCTCCCTTCTAAGCAGTCTGAGATGATGGACAATAAATAGTCTCTGCCAAGTGACTTGTACCAGCTTAGAACGTGTTGCGATGCAGGGCAAATCCAAGGCATGTTAAGCCTTCTATGGTCACGAGCAAGCCTCTAACGAAAGTTTTATGCCTTAAAAAGGAAAGAAGGTGCCAGCCCACAGGTAGAGTTATTTGTGAGTGCTTCAGAAATGGGGCAAGTATGGCTGTAACCAGATGTGGATCTTTGACTGTAGGAACTAGAGGGCCTAGAGGTGGCTGGAAGTGATTGTCAAGCAGAGATTCTCAGGTTTAGAGAAGAAGGTGCCAGAAAAACTTACATACACACCTGGTGAGAAATAAAACATTCAAGATTTATTTTCCAACAGTCAGCATCAGCAGGTACAGCTACAGGGGTCTCTCCGTAGATCATACATTCACAAGGCATTATTAGCTCAACAGTGAGAAAGCACTGGTGTGTCCTATGTAACAATATCCACTTCACAGTGTAAACAGTTACTATTATTGTGTTCACTTACAATTCCAGAAGGAAAGGCACGACTTGGCAAAAAAAAGGGGGGGGAATGCTAACGTCAGGTGCAATAACTAACAAACAAAACTTTTGGTAACAGTCTCGATCCACTTTTTAATAAGGGCCTTCCACAGAGAGGGTAAAGACTTCTCTGTCCTTCTCCACCCAAAGTTACAGTCTTTCTCTCTCTTCCCTTGTTAAACCGTTAGAGCAACTGTTTCATCGTTTGTTCA